GGGGGGGAGAGAGAGAGAAGGGGGTGGCCAGGGCTACAGCAGGGGCACTGCCACGCGGCCCCTCCCGCTGCGCTGCCGCCTGCCGCGAGGGCTCCGCTCCAGTCGGCGGGGAGGGAAGGAAGAGGACTGCCCTGCAGGGCGCTCTGGTTCTCCACGCCGCCGCCCCCTACAGGGCGGCCGCAGCGGAACAAGAACAAAGCGGCCGTGCCACCCTAGGATTGGGCGGAATGCCGCCTCCAACAATCTGCCGCCGCAAGCACCAGCTTGCTCAGCTGGTGCCTGGAGCCGGCCCTGACAACTGAGGCTACATCAACATTCTTTCATATTGGGTGAATTCTGTGCAGTCAGACAAATTAGGCTTTAAAGACATTTTCTAGCCATTTCAATGCCATTATTACAGTGTTAAAATGAGTCTACACTAGTCAATATTTTTCCTCCCAATTTTGATTCAGGAAATTCAAAATGCTGACTTATTGCTTGTTATCAAGTATGAAAACTGTTCGATACTATGCCAGGCAGCAAAAGGCCATTAAAAAAACCCAACCATATAACCTTGTTTAGAGCTGCCTACAGATAAGAAGGAGATCTTAACTCTCTTTAGAAGCATCAAATCATTTAAGACTATAACCCACCTCCCTGTGGAAACACCCACTGGAAAAGGGCAAAGGGCCCTGGAAATTCTATGAAGTTCACCTTGCAAGAGGTTCCTTATAATCTTTAAGGAAAGAGGCTGGGGCCGGGGGGAAGGGGTTATACTGTGAAGAGCAGTTTCCCACCTGGCTCCATCTACTCCCTGTGACCAGCCAGAAAAGTTTCAGCATGAAGCTACCATTCCCACCTTCTGTGCTCCCAGGCCAGATCCACAGAAGAAGAGGGAACAATAGGGCCCTTAAATTTCAGTTCTTTAGGTTGGGTGTGTGTCTGTCTCTGCTGAGAATGGAGTCAGATTGGGCAATTACAATACCTGACACACATATACCAGCTTTGATCTCAAAGGACCCCAGTGCTTTAAGGATTATTGTCCAGCTTTTTACATCCCCAAAGCATTGATTTACCTTCTATTAATGTATGACAAAGAAAAAAGAGAAAGCAACTGAATGAACAGTATATGGCAGATGCCTCAGATATGTGACCATGGAGTCTCTCTTAAGGCCTAAGGGCTTGTCTACACCGAGACTTAATGCGTGGCCAAGCAGGGTTTGAATGTACAGCCCTCTAGCCTGCCACTCACTAAGTGGCTGTGTGGACCCTGTTACTGTGCTCTAAAGGTTCCATTGTGTGCTGTGATGTTCTGCCGTTTCAAACAGCGGTACGTCAAAGCGCACTACAGAACTTTTAGTGCGCAGTAACAGAGTCCACACTGTTGCTTAGTGTGTGGCAGGCTACAGGGCTGTAGTTTTACACCCCGGCTTGCTGCACACTAAATCTCCATGTAGATAAGACTTAAGGAAAATCTCTCTTCCTCAAAATAGTGAATATTAGGCCAGCATGAAAAGGGAAAGAGGGACTGACTGGGCATTTACCCATACTCATTTATCAGTCATCAGTTTTTCAACTTCAGTCCTAACACTTCTCTTAGTACAGCGGCTCATGGCAGGGGGCTGGAAGGGATATGCCCTGTTCCACCCCCTTCCCCCAGGCTCCGTCCCTACCTCTCTCTGCGTCCTCTACGGAGCTGTGTGCACGCTGCCGCTCTTCCCCCTCCCCCTCGCTAGGGCCATCAGCTGATTGGCGCAGGGACGGAGAGGAGGAGGGGCAGGAAAGCACCGCGCTGGGGGAAGAAGCAGGGGAGGGGGAAGCTTGGCTGCCGCAGAACCAAGCTTCTGCCTCCTGCCCCCGCAGGGGAGAGCGGTGGGCGGGGGGGCTGAGTGGGGCTGGGGACCGGGACCGCGGCAGGGAGCTGCGTGCCACTCAAAATCGGCTCGCGTGCCGTGTTTGGCATGCTTGCCATAGGTTGCCGACCCCTGACCAAGACCCTCCTCATAGCCCCCGGTGCCCTGACATTTCAAAGTGCAGAGGTCAGTGTGCTCAGTCAGCTAATCCAGCAAGTCAACTACCCTGGCAACACTGTTAGGCTATTCAGAATTATTTTAACCGAATAATAAAGAGGCTTTTGATACTAGCTACAAGGAGACTGAAGAATCATTCTGCAAAACGTTCTTCATCAGTATTAATCTTACCTTGATATGGGATGCATTGATATAGCCAGTGTTGTTTTCTTTGGTTGGGACCAGCTCCACTCTGGCATCATCATAGGGAAGGACATCCTGGAACCTGTTTCTCTCTGCATTTTCAGGGAGCCGAGCTATTGAGCACTCTCCATCTATGAGCCTTTTCTTTTGAATCTGCTCATACTCAGTAAACACCATTCCCTGTTCCAGCCGTTGTTCTAGAATTTTACACTAAAAGATAGAATAAGATGATCATACAATGCCACATCCCAACTCAATTTTACTCTTAACACTGCAGTGAAAAGAATTTAATAAAATAAAAAAATAAAAAGAGCACAAATTTCTCTCACTTAATTTTTAAAAGCCCTTTCCAGCTATCACAGTTTTTACAATCACAGTAATTCAGGAGTGGCCAAATATTGGGGTCTTTACTCAGATTAAACTAGTTTATGTTAATGGGAGTTTTGTCTAAGCGAACATGGATGAAGAATGTAAGGATATGGCACTAGGAGATGGAGATAGTAAATAACATTCAAAAATTATTCCTTAATTTCTATATAGATAATCCAATCAGACATGGGAACATTTTGCCAAACAAGGTAGTTAGGATAGAGTCTCTACAGGTATTTGAGGCAAGGATAGATAAGTTTGGACGGGGATGTGTACAGTCCTTCCTGCTTGACGTAGCAGGGTGCAGTAGCTAATTTGAGAGGTATCTTCCAACTCTATTATCTGGTCAGCTTTGTTTTGAATCTGGAGAGCCACCTGAACAACAAAGTGTTTTGTCAAATGAATAAATTCAGCATACTCTGCAAATACTCTCTCAGTTTCATCAGCCTGGAGATGATAAATGTTGAAGATGGCAGCAAATCCTTCCTACAAACTCCTGCTGCAGATGAGATATAAGCACAAATTCCTCCTACCATAATAATTCTGTTTTATTTTTAATTATTTTCTGTATTGTTTTTCATTTATGTTTCATTAATTGTTTTATTTTTATTTAACAAGACCTGCTGAAAAACAATTTTCTTTTTCGAAACCAAAATACTTTCTAATCAGAAGACACTTGGAATTTCAGCATCTGTTTACCAAAAAAAAAAAAAAAAAAGGAAGATTTAAGCTAGAGAACTGTGTGTGTGTGTCACATGCACCAGACTCTCACAGTAACATCAGAACAGCCACACAGTATGAGATAAATCAACCATCTAGTCTGGTATCCTGTCTCCAACAGTTGCCTTTACCAGATGGTACAGAGAAAGGTGTAAAATCTCCATAACAATTCAGCACACTCACAGGGAAGTTTCTGACTTTCTTCTTGTCAAGTTCCTACTATGAAATTAACTAGCAAGGGCACAGTAGCATGAATCTGAGCTTCAGAAGTATATGTTGAACGAACTTCTTGGTCCTCTACAAATATTTGCAGTCCTCAAACTGGATTTTCTTCTATTACATACGTCCGAATTGTTTTGTCTGTGCCCTATTTAAATGGTAAACTTCTTGTTTGTACAGCATCACGCACAACAGTGCTCAGTGTTATAATAGCGGCAACAATATCTGCTTTTAAAAGCTTTCACTATTTACTTCAAGAATGACTCGATTCTTTCCTCTAATAGATTCCTGTGGGTGGTACTAAGCAATTGCGCCTCTGCCCTATTGGTTCTACTGCTCAGAGGTCTGCAAGGTTCTATTTTGTCACCCTCCTAGTCAACATGCACTGCATACAGGGCTGCTGGGAAAGACACTGCTGGGATGTGGATGCAGAAGACACACATCTCTGACTCCTTTTCATCTATCCTATCAGTGCAGAGTCCCCGTTTTCCCCAAGTGCTTGGAAAAAACTGGGGTGTGGATGAAGTGTGCTCACTGAAGCTCAAGCCATTAATGGCTGTGTCGGTTTGCTAACTTCATTGACAATGTGGTGTTATTTTAGGTCCCCAGCATCTCCTAGACTCCTATGGTGCACCTATGGCTAAAAATGCCATTTTCTAGCGACATTTGTCCAGAAAATTACAACACCTCTCTCCAGTGTGTGGACCTTACTCAGTTATCCAAACCTTTGAGATCCCCAGAATGAATTACTGCTATGTGCTTGACAATGGATTACCCTTTGGAAGCCATTTGGAAGTGTGTAGTTGGTGCAGAATGTGGTTTCTCATTGAGGGTTCAGTCTTGCAAGTGCTCAGTGCCTTCTCAGTGAGTTAAAGTGGAGTTAAAGTGGAGTTAAATTGAGTTAAAGTGGAGATGAAGTTGAGCGTGCTATGTTATGCACAGAATCAGGCACTTAAGTGTTGGCTGAATGATGCACTTTACACTACTTCTCCAAGGACTACACTGGCTATGCTCCTGGGTATAATTCAGGGTGATAATATTGCTCTATAGAGTCCTATATAGTTTGGGTTCTGCCTATTTTCATCCCATATCCTCTCATGACACTTAGATTAGCCAGAGCGCTCTTGCTTAGGCTGCACATCCCAGCTTTAAACTGCCTTGATCCCAGCTTCTAGCTTTCTCAGTTGGATGACCATCAACTTTGGAGCCTGCTTCCCGCACAGGTTTGAGACAGTATATATGTGTTGATCTTCAGGGCATTGTTTAAGATCCATCTTTTTTTTCAGGGTTTTTCCTGAGGAGAAATATCAATGTGACCTACAAAGACCTGAACCCTGGAGTGAATTCTAACTAGGATACTTGTTAAATTTTTATTATTTATTAAGCACCAACAGTACAAGTCACACAGAAAGTCACAGCCCCTACCATGAAGAGCATACACTCTAGACAGGGATACAACTCAGTGGGAAACGGAGGGAAAGTTTCTAATTTAAAAAACTCTGGATACTATTTTAACTACTGCCCACGTGCCCAGAAGCTGGATGACAAGTGAATCTTAGTTATATCTCCATCTATTATATTATTATATATATATATATATATATATCTCATAGAACTGGAAGGGACCTCGAAAGGTCATCGAGTCCAGCCCCCTGCCTTCACTAGCAGGACCAAGTAATGATATTTCCCCAGATCCCTAAGTGGCCCCCTCAAGGATTGAGCTCACAACCCTGGGTTTAGCAGGCTAATGCTCAAACCACTGAGCTATCCCTCCCTCCTTTCATCCTTAGTCTCATTACGCACTTTTCCCAACAACTAACCAATAATTAGAAGTCTCTTTCACCGATTTGCTGCCACCTTCTATGTCTGAATTATTTTGAGGGTGAGCTGTTCTAGTAATTAGCACAAAACACAATGACGATGCAGTTCATTTTTAAAATTGCCTGGCTAAGAGAAACCAAACGCTCTAGAAAACTTTAACGTACCCGTTCATCATTTGTCGCTCTGGTCGGCTCTTCTTTACCCTCATCTGGCAAAGGCATTCGAGACAAGGTTAGTCCATTTAGGGCAGCTAGCTTCAGAGGCCCTATTTTTTTTGCATCCGTTCTATTCTTTTTCATACCCTGCAGAAAAAAAATTAAAAATGGTAATATCCACACAACAGATTACAACGTCGTCTTCACAGGGGTTCAGCTTCATAAGCGGGACTCCTCGGACTCCTTTTTGCAAACAGAAGACAATGCACAGCCGTTTCTCTTTGCTAACCGCTGGCTAAGAGACTGCAGTGGTAAAGCCACATTCTTTCCTAGGACTGGACACCAGTCGGACTTCATTCCAGATACAAGTTTCTGAAACGCCACAAGAATGACAAATATTGTTCTCTCCAAGGCTAGGTCACAGTGCAAGGGCAATTCTGGGCAGTTTACAGTCCTCAATAGAATTAAAATCTTTAATAGTACGAATAAGACAGAAAAAAAATACCACAAAGGGATATCACACACATCTAAATGATTATGTGCATCACACTATATAGTTTATAGGCCCAGTTTTCAGAAGTGGCCTCAGAGAGCAGAATTTTATGGGTGCATTTTATAGCACTTAGATGCATAAGCATTAGACTGCAGCTGGGGTGGGGGGAGAGTTCTTAAATGTCAAACCAGTAAAAAAAATGAGCCTACAACAAATTTCAGATGCAAAAATGTGGTCGAGACTTAGAGGCAGAGTTAAGGGCCTTTGGAAAATCAGGGCCTGAATCTTTAATTTTGCAGTAATCACTTACTGTTAGAGGAAAATATTAGTACAAATTGAGGGGGATATTTGTGTTAAGAACCATTCCACCATGATCTTTTAAACACTTATATACTAGAGAAAGCAAATGTCTCAATCCTACAGTTTATAAGTTTGGCTGCTAACAAAAATAATAGACCTAAAGAATTTATCACAGTGAAAAAACCTGAAACACAACATGGACACATGTGGTGTGAGAGTAAAAAAAAAAAAAATCAATATATCCAAGAGCTAACAGGCAGTAACAGAAACAAAAACACTGCTAAATGCCAAAGCTAAGAGACTGGGACTATGTGCAAGAATGAATGAATGGAAACCCAATAACAAAGGACCACAGTGGGAGCAAAAGACGTCATGGAAAGAATGCCTCTATCAGTCTTATCAGGATATAATTCTCAGCATTAAGTACTGAAAGGAATTAGGTTTTATCTATATTGTTTGCAGGGTTGTTGTAGCCATGTTGGTCTCAGGATGAGAGAGAGATGAAGTGGGTAAGGTACTATCTTTTACTGGACCAACTTCTGTTGGTGAAAGACACAAGCTTTCGAGCTCCACAGAAGTTGGTCCAATAAAAGATATTACCTCACCCACCTTGTTCAAGCTATATTTTAAAAATAACTAAACAATGTTACTTGCTGAATAAGACAGTATTCTATTGAACATTTCCAATGAGTAAAGAACATCTCGGTTTAAAACTAAAGTGAGTCTCTCTCTCTCTCTCTCTCAGTGAAAGCAAACTAATTACAAACACAGAACAAGGAAAAAGCAGGGTAGGTTCACAAATGTCTCAAAAACATATACCATGTAAAGAGCAAGACCCAAACCTCAAAGATATTTGAAGGTCACATTGCAATAATTAGGAGTTAGGTGCCTAAAAACCTTTGAGGATCTGTACCCATGACACAAGGTGAGAGTTCAAGCTACCTCTGAATATAAACCTATCAACAGAAGAACCTCATTAGTTTTACTTGATGTTAGTGTAACAGAGGGGGAAGAGACACAGAAATTATATACAATTATAAAGTTCTTAAAAGAAAATTGACTAAGGTTGTGCAATTCTACTAGGTCTCTTTCTGCATCCAGCTCCATGCTAGAAAGCTGGATTCGGAGGGACAATGATGAGGGCTATATAAGTGCCTAGATAAATAGACTAAGCCTACAGTATTTAGTTTCTGCAAAGTCAGCTGTAGCAGCTGCTAAAGCAGTAAAACTAGTATGCCAGTCAGTTTCTCATTGCTGCTCTTCCCTATATAAAGAGCTACTTGGCAGCTGCTGGTAGTGACCCTGGGGAAGACGTTAATGTAGCACAATCAATTAAAAAAAAAAAAAAAGGCAAACTAAAAGTAGGGAAACAGGAAAAAAAAAGCTAGTGGCTAAAAGGAAGAAAAAATATTATTTTGTTTTTATTACAGTAGCACCCACAATGAGCGAGGCACTGTACAAACACATGGAGTTATAGTTCCTGCCCTAAGAACTTGCAAACTAAACAGACTAAAAACAAAGGGGTCGATGTAGAAGATCATGAATTACATTGTGTGGTTCTGCACACATCTTGTAGGAGGTTTTGTGGGCAGGAGTGTCAGTTTGTGTTTGTGGGAGAGAGGGGAATGGCAAGTTTTTAGGGATGAAAGAATGGTTAAAAGGTAAGACAGGAAGGGAGGGAGTGCCTGGAAAAGGGAAAAACCAAGGAGTGAATACAAAGCAGGGAGGTGCTTAGTGACATCACATTAGGAGGAGAGGGAGTGGGAAGTGTGTCAGAAGACAAGTGAACATTCAGTTAAGTCCAATGCTCAAATTACGGGAATGGGTCTAATGTCGGTCACAAAACTGCCAGAGGAGTGGATGTAGCTGCTCCTGCTTCAGTTGCCTGGTGAATTGCGGGGGCTCTAGGAACCGTGGCCTGTTAAAAGCCACCCTGGATGACTCATGCATGGGTTATATGAGGCTGAGGAGGTCTCAGAGCCAGTCCCCCCTAGCTACAAACTGAATAGGGGGTGGGGGCAGGAAGACTGGCTGAACAGACTGGGGGGGGGGAAAAAAGACAAAATAGGGGAGAGAAAGACAGACAAATAAGGAGAGAAAGCAGGAAACAGAGCGAGAGAGAGGGCAATGGAGAGGAAGGTTACTGCATTTAATTGCTATGCTTCAAAGATATTGAAAAAGCTTTTTTAAAAACACCAATGACTGGTATCAGATCTATTATCAGGAGCCACGAGAAGAGAGAGAAATAATATCCACTTACTCCTAAAGGGGGAAGACCTTCCACTATATTCTTCTTCCCTGACAGAAGATCAGAGACGGGTCTCTTCTTTAGAGAATCCTTTCTCACTCTGTACCTTCCCGACGTCGTAAGGTCAGATTCTGACATAGACGGAATCAGCAATCCTTCACCTCTTCTCTGCACCTGGGTTTCAGCCATTAAGTGTACTGGGCTCACATCTTTTATCCTCTTTTCCGTCTCCGAAATATGTAACTTAGGCTCAAGGATATGCAAAGGGCCAGGAGGTGAAGCAACAGAACTGTAGGGGTAACTTAGTAAGGATTCATGAGGATAACCACCCATAATAGCAGAAAGCTGGGTTTGATCATCAGTGAGAGGAGTCAGAGTTGTACTAGCTTTGTTTTCTTCTTCAAATTCTTCCTCTTCCTCGCTGCTGTGAATCAGCATAGTGGCATCTGAAAGAGACTTCTTATGATCACAGTTCAAACTTTCTTCTTGCTCCTTATTTTCTTCTTGCTTTGTTCTCTCTATGAAAACGCTGGGCTGTGATCCTGCCAACATGACCCTTGGAAGGGCCACATCTGCAGCAGAAGCTGACATGGTCCGCTCTTTAATTCTTATGCCTTCAAAGTTGTGGGTAAGTCCAGCTATTTCAATACTGTTCCTTTTCTGTAGCTGAGCATGCCGTGCAGATGTTAAGGGCTCACTCACTTCCTGAAGGGAATGTGCAACAGGCAGGCTGTCTTCCTGAAACGTCTGAACAGAATGGTGGACTCGCCGCGTGATGAGATCTGGATTGCTGCTGCTAATGTAAAGATGTCGGGAAAGGTCTGGGGTACTGTTTGCAGGTCTTGGGTATGGGTAAGGGGGAGGAGGTCGATAGACCTGGGTCTTCATGATGTTTGGTGCTGGATACTCCTGAGCCTGAAGCTGCACATTTGTTAGCTCAGGGACACTAACTGCTCCAACAACTGGACGCCGTTCAGCAGGGTATGGGTAGGGAGACTGGCTATGAAAACTGTAACTCAGGTTAAAAGGATAGTGATTAGATTGGGGGGAGGTGAAGTGAGCATGTTCTCGGATTTCAGGTTGGCTATAGACCAGAGCATCAGGCCTACTGTAGGCATATGAATTGCTGATGTTAAGATTTCTCATAGAATGACTCTGCCTATCTGTGTGTATCATTCCTCTGTTAAGCTGTCTCATTACAGTTTCATAATCTGGTGTAGGCCGATAAGAAGGTGGTATTAGCGCACTATGTCGATGCGACGGAACATAATCAGGTCTCAGGACATCGCTTCCAGTAATGCTTGGGTTAGAGGACATGGGAGATGGCTGCAAGTAGTGCTGTGGGTTATTCAAAGAGTTTGTGCTGTGTGCACTATAGACACTCCCATTGCGAATTCTGCCATTGTAGTCATGTGGAGCTCTATCCAAGCTAGTCTGAGAGTGGTAGTAGTATCCATTCTGCTTGTTCACAAAAAGGTTATCTGAAAAAAAATTAAGTGTTTAGCAACCATTATGTCCAAACATTAAAAAAAGAGTGAAATTCCTCTACTAGCCATGTTTAATCAATGATTAATTATCAAAACCTCAGCCCTTCCCCACCATATCTTGGCTTTAACAATATATTGCTGCTAAGCAACATTTTATATCCAAGGATTGCATTTTTAGTGCTGCAAGGCTCCCAACACACTGCAATACACAATTGCTACCTTGGGATAGTATTTGTGTTTTACCTCTTGCTACCTGGTCAATTTTCTGACATACAGAATGGACCCTGTAATACAGTCCTTTACCTGGAGACTGACTTAATTCTGATGTAATCTGTTTTCAGACACCATGATGTTAATGAGTGTGGCATCAAGACTCAGTAGTGAAACATGACAGATGTAAATTTGTCTTCTATCTTGAAGTCATTCAGAACTTTTTTTGCTTTGACCAAGTGGGGTTGTGATGTAACAGCAGAGTCAGAATTCAGGCAAGGTTGATCAATAAAATGTGTCTCACTCACAGGAACCATTCAAAAGCAGGAATCTAGAAAAATCCCACCAACTAAGCAGTAACAGGCTCAGGCGCAACATCAGGCTTTCAGCTCTCTAGGCCAGGGGAGACAAGGCACAGTACAGAGTTATGGCACGTGAGCTCTGGGGGAAGAGGTGCACCATACCTGTAGGGGCAGCCATGCTAGTCATCTAACTAACTGGATTAATCAACAGTGGCTGCAGAGGGGACTTTCCCTTATCCACCAAGCCACTCAACGTCCTGCAGTGACTGCAGCTACTGAGAATTAGGCAGAGTGGAAGCTTCTGATCTTATTTCTTTATATCTTATTTACCTGTTTTATGCCAGTGAATTATACAGAGTTACACTTGAGATATGCCAGTGCAAGGTCTTGTCTACATGGGGAAGTTGTACTAGAATAACCTAAGGTGTGAATTCAGACTGATCTAAACAAGTGCAAATTCCTGTGTAGAGACATTTATTTCAAAGAGTGGCTTTTTTCAGTTTACTTAATTCGACTGGGAATAGATTTAAATTAAACCAAAATAGGACACTCAAACTGAAATAAAAAAAAAGAGTGTCCACATGGGAGTTTGTATTGGTTCAACTATATCAGTTCAAAAAACAAGAAGTTAAACCTGTTTAACTGGCCTATGTAGACAAGGCCTTAGTGACAGAAGAATCAGGCCCACTATATAAATGAATAATCAATACTAATGATGTGTCTATAATCAGCTGGGAGATGTGATTTTGAGTTCAGAAAGACATACACTTGCTAGATCTGGTCGAGATAGCATGCTAAAAATACAGCATGGTGGGGACAGCCTGGGCGGTGGCTCAGGCTAGCTGCCCCATGCTAGCTCTGCGTAGACAGTCTAAGAAATCTGCCTTACGTGACCATCCCAGCAACGGTAGATCTTAGTCAAATCAAAGTTTTCTGGAGACTTTGGGATATTTTAAAATATGGTAGGATGTTGCTGCTTACTACAGTTGGTCCTTATTACAGATTTCACTATACAAATTAAAGTAAATTATCTATTGTTTTATGCATTTAATATTTATAAAGCAGCGGAGCTTTTGCTCTGATGCCAAAATGCAAAACAGAAGTCACTGCTTTGGGCACTCTTTGTGCACGCAGCACAAACAAAAAACTGCTGTGCATCTTTGCTGACAATTGCTTTTGAGTCTCTGTTCATGAAAATAAGCGTTCAATAGCAGGATTTCATTACAAATCTGGTATTCTTTACTGTACCCCTACTGTGGTACTGGAAACAATTCAACTCCGTTCTGCTATGGAGATTACAGGTATTAGTTCCCAAAGCTGTCAGAGACTCAGTATTACCAATATTATTTATATTTGTACTACCGTAACACTCAAAGGCCTGACCGCAGTGGATAATTAAACACAGTCCTTGCCTCCGAGAACTTAGTCTAATTAAACACAAAATGAGGGTAACAATAAGGGAGAAGGAAAATGAGGGTACTGGTAAATCCATTGCATATTACATAGACTAGCTATGTGCACCACTTGAGAGTTCTGAATAATTTAACTATTTTACTTTTAGAAAACCAGTGTTTAAAAATTTCTTATCAAACCAGCTACAATCCCCTGGGCTCTCTCAAAGTTTGCACCCCCAGCCTATCCCAACGATTTCTATACCTACTACTACAGACAAGAGGTCCCTCTCTTCCTTGAGCACCTGTCCCACATGGTCCTAAGAAGTCCCACTCGCTCTATTGCTGTCCTGGGGCAGGGCTGGGTCCTTGGAGCAGTCAGGGGAAAGAGGGTACAAAGTCCATTGATAATTTATGGAGCTCTGATATCTTTAAGGTCTAGAGGGATAAGAAGGAGCTCCTGAGGCCTGCTCATTAACTTACCTTCTGAGGTGTATATATAGCCATAGTAACCATAGCCAATTTAAGCTCATTCAAGAGGGACTGTAGTCTGTAATTACAATGTGCACGGTCAATAACTCAGTGTTCGCCATCCTAGCTCCCTGCCACACCCCTCTATCACTCTATAGTTAGAATAGAAACAAGTACTGCAGCAAGAGAAATAATGTGGTCCTGACTCACATTCACACTATGGCCTCTTTGCACAGCTCTAGCAGTGCCATGGGGGCTTAAAGTGAGTTGAAATATAATGTGATGTAATGTGGTAAAATGTGATATCAAGTGGTCTGAGTGTTTACTGGTTCCCACTGTATTTAGAATTTACTTGAGAGTTAAACATTGTGACCACATCATAATTTACCTTGGGACGATGTATATGGTTCCGTGTAGTGTCCATTGTAATGTAGAGGAGGTGGTGGTTGCATCATGTAAGGCTGTGGCTTGGGCTAAGAAAGAAGATATTTTAAAAGTAGTTAAATACTACATGACTTTTAAAGAGTCTTGAAGAAGATTGTACAAGGGGCTATGCTAAAAGCAAATTCAGTCAGCGTGTAACACAAAGTATCAGTTTTCAGGGCAAGTGAAGAGTAAAAGCCAACCAATGTAGTGCCTACAAACAGACATCTAGGATTTTCTCTAGATGTAGGGGAATCTTAAATTGAAAACAGATATATCTAAAATACCTAAAACAAAAAATATTTTTTAGATCAGTTATTAAGAAGTTACATCCTGGTTTTCTGACAAGCCAATAAGTTTCTTAATTTATTGATCCCACCTTATTTTTCATCGTTTCAGCTTATTTCATTAAAAGGAAAAAATATTTGACTCAAGTCTAATGGAAAACTATAAAAATTCAAATCTCAGAAGTTTGGCATATTCCTAAGGAAAGTATCCTTCTCTAATCTTACTGACTACGAATGTAGTCACACCATTTCTCCCCTCATGGGGCATCCGCATTCTAGTTAGCAAAAAACAAGAAACAAGAAGTGGCTCAAATGTGAAGCTATTTGAAAACCTTACCAGAGACATCCTGGAAGAGGACCTCCTTCTAACTGGATTCACTGTAACAGCCTGGGTTTGTCTACAAAGCAAGTCATATGATGAGCAAAGAGTTTTACAACATTGTCAACTTAGGCCCAATCCTGTAAAGTGCTCACCACCGCATTTCAGGGCATTCAGCACTTCACAGAATCAGGTCCCATGTTGCACAGTCCTCCCGCCAGTCCCAAAGGGAAGAGGTATGTGCAGCATGTGCACAAATCACCGCTGTTGCTAGAATGAGAAGAAACACAGAAATAGGATGGGGAGGAAGAAAGACAAACACCTTGTTTATCTCACTGCCTCCTCTCCCCATGTACAGCACCCTAGCAGGAGAAGGATTCAGTTTGCTCTGGCACACCAGGCTTCCCCAGCAGTGAGTGAAATGGAGGAGGACATGAATTTCACATATGCCGTGGGCTGGGAGAAAGGTGGGATTTCCATGCTCTCACACAAATTTCAACGCCTGATAGAGTCTCACCCAAGTGGTAACCTGTAGGCTCCCTGGCCTGGATGTCTGTCTTTATAATAGTCTGTAAAGGGTCCTCAATACTTACTAGGCTATAATAAGAAATAAACAACAGCCGAATGCTCATTCTGGGTCCCTAGCCAATCCAAATTTTAGATATGGCAAACACTGTAGCTATCATAAACAATGTTTTGTAGTTTGCCAAATCACTGCATGTTGGACTGGTCAGCAATGCCCATTTTCCCCACCCTATACTGTTTCTGTACCCGTCAGCATGCAGTAAGAGAAGGGCCCAAAAGACACGAGAGCAATACAAATACAGTACATGCAAAATTTCAGAAAGAAAGAGATTATTCTCCAGCTCACCCTTTGGGAAGAGAAGGACGAGAAAGAATTGGAAAGCGTGGAAAGGAAAGAATGAGGAAAGGTTTCTGAGAGCCTTCCACAGGTGGAGAGTCTGGGGAGTCTCTAAAGACAAGGTATGTGCAGACAAAATGGACACAGTCAACTAGCACATTGAAAAGAAAGGCACTTGTTACCAGCAGAGAAGACATTTTAACTGAACTTAGATGAGTCGGGGACAGAGCTTCTTAGCCTGGGTGTCAGCACTACTTTGCCCCTCCCTTTTGCTAAACAGGAGGATTTCCCAGCTCGTTGACATGAGGATCCCAGTAAGGAAAGATTAAGAACTACTGGTCGTGGGCATTTTTTTTTTTAATTGAGCTATTGTAAAGGGTGCAGAATTGACAGCCCAGAGACTGACGTTCATAATGTAACCAGAAAACTGATATAGTTCGGACAGCAGCTACACATGCTTCTGATATATACACCACCTCCATCAATATGCTTCATCCCTGACCAGAAGGCAGCCACCATGAGGGATGAGAGGCCAGTTTGGTCTCTATTCCAAGTCAATCCTTCAACTATTTTTGAGAGAGTGTCAACAAGGGTGTAATTAATATTAGTGCCTGTTGTGGTGATTTTTGTGATGTGGATATTTCCCACCATCTTTCCTTCAACTTCAATAGGCTCTGAATCAGACCTCAACAAGTCATTTATTGCTGGACTATGTAAAATAAAATAAATTAAATTAAATGGAAATCATGCTTAGTCTGACTCACTGGGCCCGATTCTCTGTCTCGCACTAATGTAAATCAAGAATAACTTGACTGAAGTAAAAAAGGTGAAAAAATCAGAATCAGGCCCTTGATTTGCAGTGTGGAGACTGGCCCATTAAATTTAATCTTTTCACTTGTATTTAATTTGTTCTGCTCTGGTGCTTACTGAGCTATGAGGATTCTGTGGATATCAAAAGGACCGCATACTGTAAGACTGCCAATCCAGCATCTTCCAAGAACACTACATTCACTCCCCCGCTCCTTTAAAATAACTTCAGTGTCCTATTACAAGTTCAGTCAAAAGCACAGTCAGAGTCCCGTAGATTTCAGTGTTTCACAAACACCTTGACATTAATGGCGCAAGTAGATGCATTTACAGCCTTGAAATTGAGTTATTAGAAGAAGAGGACGACGTTCTCAGCTGTGACTCCAGGTTATAAAAATATCGTCCTCTATTACAAGGCTGCAACCAATTAGGATAAATCCTTTCCATATTGGGGATAAAGAAGTGGTTGAAAGCATCAGGAGTAAACAAGGTCACTACTTAGTATATTCTAAACAAGTAGTAAATTGCAGATGTTATATAACATTTAAGTTCATTATGGGAACAGAGACCTTCCCCCTTCCACCCCCCCCCCCCCCCCCCCCCCCCCCCCCAAAAAAAACCTATTATACTTACAGGCTACATTTATTTAGTCTGTAAAATTTGTGTCTGGCCACACACATCCTCCACACATATTTTGCGGTTTCCATGTCCTCCTGTCAAACAAAATATATAGATATACAACAAAATATACAGGTTAAAATATACAGGCCCAACTCTTGGTCCCATGGAAGTCAGTGAAAGTTTTACCACTGACTTACCTTGGAACAAGATTTGACCCACTTCCAGGGCCGGCTCCAGGCACCAGCTTAACAAGCAGGTGCTTGGGGCGGCCAAGGGAGAGGGGCGGCACCTGTGGCAATTCGGGGGCGGCAGGTCCCTCACTCCCTCTAGGAGCGAAGGACCTGCCGCTGAACTGCCGCCGCCGATCGCAGCTTTTTTTTTTTGCTTGTGGCAGCAGCCGGCCCTGCCCACTTCATTTTGATGTAGCAGTTTCTATATCAAAGTTTCTTAGGAACCATGTAATTTGCAGGACTAATCCAGCTGCTCAAGCATGAACACTCCACTAGATTAAAAAAAAAGTTGAAAATAGCAGCCTTCTGTTGAAGACAATCTTATGACTCAGAACACTGAATAACCATATATACTGTGCATATCACACTTTAAGACTATTACAAAAATTATATCCTTGAAGAAGGGAATAGACAAATGCTTTAAAGGCTCAATTCTGCAAGGCGCTGAGCACTCTGGCCCTGACCCAGCAAAAGCACTTAAACATGTACTTATCTTTAAGCATGTGAATAGTCCCATTGACTTCAAAGTCTTATTTAAACACATGCTTAAATGCTTTGCTGGTTTAGACCAGAGTGCTCAGCACTTTTGGTGTACTTACGAAAGATAAGATTTCTTAATGCCTTTTACTTTTGTATAAAAACTGCTGAAGCAGCCATAGAATTTAAAATGTTATATTTGTGCCACCCTTATAATTATAACTTTTTAAAAATTGTAACAGCAACTAAAAAACCTCCACATAACTACAAAGTTGAAAAAAAATATAACATTTTGGACAAAAATAGTTTGAGGGATTGTCTTATTTTGTGGTTTACTTGTATAGCTTTAGACTGAGAGAAATAAAAACTCACTCACTTACAGTTTGGAACTGGATTGTCTCTTCTTTATTTGCCAGTTCTAATGCAAAAAAGGACTTGTTGTGGGACATATTGGCAATATCATGCCATCTAAGGATATAGGGAGAAGACATGACAAGTAAGCTCTGGATTTTCAGCATACAGAAAATATAAATGAAAAACAAAACCTATCTTTGTTGGGGGATGAGGACTAACTGAGCAATAACTCCCCCTTCTCCCCCGCCCCACATCTGACTCATGTGTAGCAAACTCTGCAATAGTGATTAAAGAAGCAGACTATAACTTCACACCCATTAAATTATTGTTAAAAGGAAAATGGGGACGTAACTGTAGTTCTTTGGAGAATGTACAAGTGTGAGTAGTATTATTTATAATGGATAATACTTTGCTATTCCTGCTCAACTTTGCTGTCTTTCAAGTTATTAAACTTTTTTTTTATGCATTTAAGACAAGAAACTAGCCATTAGCATGTCCTGACTGCTTGAAAGTTAATCACTCATTGTAAAAGAAAAGCTGTGTCCAGTAACCAAGAATGCTCAGAGCGATTAAGACCTGGTTAAAATGAATGAGAAGACAGGCAAGGGTGAGCAGACCTTGGGGCCCGTAGAGATTCACTGTGCATGGCCCACTTACTCTGGGGTTGCAGAGAGGTTCCAATATTTGGTCCTCAGTCAGTCACAAACTCGATTTGATCAGATAAAATCCACTGAGAACAATGTTTACCTGGCTACAATGGTAACTATAAATCACAAATGTCCTTGAAAGTAACCTTCCACATGTGTCGCTACACGACATTCATTTGGTAGGCCAAATTCTGCACATGGATGCACATGTGCAGCTCTTATTGAAGGCAGTGGGACTCGTGTGCTTGCATCCAAAGGTGAAATCTGGCCTATTGGAATTGGGCCCTGGATACATGGATCTCAAGGCCATGCCTAGTATGGAAAAACATTTTTAAAATGTTTAACTATGAGAATGCCCCGGAAGACTGCATGCTTCACTACCAGTGACAGCCTAATTGCAAACAGCAAACGATCTATCACTTCAGAATAGTAACAGAATAGTAATGCAACTCTCCTCTTCATATTTCCATATATAGACCACCACACAGCCCCTCAACATACCAAAAAAAAAAAAAAAAACCAAACATGCACATCAATTACTTGGGGATGTGCAATCGTAAAAGTATGTGCCTGTATCTGGCAAAATGATGCTGCCTTTAGAGAGTCACATGCATTTGCACAGAGGAATATACATAACTGTAGGTGAAACACATATATAACTAGATCTAAATGAACTAATCCTGCAGCAATTATATAGGTAAAACTCCCATTGACTACAGTATGTATGCACAAGGACTGCAAGACCGGGCCCATGTTTGGAACTGTGCTAATGAGTAAGATCTGTATTCATCCAAGATGCCATGAAAGCAACTGGGGACTGCACATAAAATGTTAATTTGCAAAATACTTATCAGCATTATTCTGACAGGGGACAATACTCACCGAAATATAACAGGAGGCCGGCCATTTTTGTGTTTCACAAAGATACCATCAAGACATGCCCCAATGAATAGGTCACTTCCCTGGCTGTCCTGGAAGTAGTAAACAGAAATCACAAGAAAGAAACTCTTTATGAGCCAAAGTTACAGCAGCAGCAACTATTCACTTCAGTGAGGTCACAGAAGGGTTCTTACATAGGCAATGCAAATCTTAATCTTTAGTTTGAGATCATGAGCTCTCCTCATCATGCAGCACTAACACAGGACTCGATACAGCAGCCCTTATGCACCAGAGTAATCCCAGTGAAGTGATTGGGACAACTCAGGTGACTAAGAGATGGGGTATTGGGCCCAGGGGTTTCTTATACATTGGATTTTCTTGTTTTTTCTTTAAAATGGAAGAAAGATATGAAGATGGTTGCACTTGTTAAGTCACGTCAAGTGTCAAAGCCATCCTTACCTTTGCAGGGTAGCTCTCTTCACCATAGCCTTCCATTCTCTCTACCTCTTGCATATATAACATTTCTGCATCAGGAGGTGTAAGGCCTCTACAAATAAACACAACAGTAACTTTTAATCTAGTGATCAGCTTCTAATATTGTACCAGTGGGGGACTCCTACTTGTATTACTCTGAAGCAGGCTCTCAAAGCTCGAAAAGCACTTAATAAGATATCCAGGCTATCGCGAAATCTTGCTGCTTCTTGTCTGTTCAAGTGGCTAAAACACTTGCCCAGGTCCTGCCACTTGGACTCCTGTAACCTCTTCCTCTCTAGCTTCCCTGATTTCCATAACGCTTCTCGCCAATTCGTCTGCTATGTCTATTGAGACTATGTCACATCCCTCTTCAAATCCCTCCCCTGGTTCCCCATCACCCACCGTGTCAAAACTGAATGTCTAGTATTTCCATTCAGGGCCCTGCATAATTCCACTCCAGCCTGCATCTCAGATTACTTATTTCTTTAGCACAAACAGAATGCTTAGCACTGTACAGTACAAAAAAAAGACATTAATTTCTTATTATATCCCTTCTCATTCCTCTTTTCTCCTACAGTGACATCAGCCTCAGCTCCTGCACTTTCTTCTCCCACTCCCATCTACATTCCTCTTTCTATGCTGCACATTATGCACAGAACAAGCCCCCAATCCTGATAGGTCAATCCTCACCCCTCTCCTCATTCCAATTCCTCCCAAAGACTCACTGCTTCCATGCTGCTTAAAACAAACCCACAACACTGAGCCACATCAAACTCCATCTTCAGCTCAACATTATACTAACTAGAGGAAAAAAGAGTGAGATCAGGAAAACAAACAAGGAATCTCATCTGATACCCTCCTCTGGGTCTCCCAGTGCACCGTGTCTTATCTCTGTGACTCAGACTGTAAACACCTTGAAACAGAGGTTACCTTTAGATTGGTACAGCTCTGAGCATACCGTTAGTTCTTAACAAACAATAATAATTGTGGTCACAATTTCCATTACACTAAAATGAGAGATTAAAGAACTTTATAAACATTATAACAATGAAGCCACAATATTTATTTTTGCCCTGATAAGCAGCATTATTATGATGTGCATTTGCTATTTCAAATGTCCTGGCTTTACCCTGGATATAAATATCCACAGAAGCTTAAAATTCACAGCACAGACGGGAGAAATGCAATTTTCCCCACACTACTCATCCCCAGCTCTGCCTCAACTCTGACCGGGAGGAAACACCTCTGGCAGGAGAGCAATAGCTGTTCCTAATTATTCATTCCCAGTTAGTTGCACTTGTAGTTTTAGTGATTTGGAGACCTGTACTCTAGATATAGGACTGAGACAACATCATACGATAACAACTTTCAGTCCCTATTGAGCCAGGATGACTTGAACCAGCAACATATGGGTGAGAAGCTCTATATCGCACTACCTAAATATCCAACATCACCTATACCACAGAATCATAGAACTGGAAGGAACCTCGAAAGGTCTTCTAGTCCAGTCCCCTACACTCAAGGCAGGACTAAATATTATCTAGACCATCCCTGACAGGTGTTTGTTTAACCCCCTCTTAAAAATCTCCCATGATGGAGATTCCACAACCTCCCTAGGCAATTTATTCCAGTGCTTAACTACCCTGACAGTTAGGAAGTTTTTCCTAATGTCCAACCTAATTTGCCCTTGCTGCAATTTAAGCCCATTTCGTCTTTTCCTATCCTCAGACGTTAACGAGAACAATTTTTCTCCCTCTTCCTTGTAACAACCTTTTATGTACTTGAAAACTGTTATGTCCCCCCATCAGTCTTCTCTTCTCCAGACTACACAAACCCAATTTTTTCAATCTTCCCTCATAGGTCATGTTTTCTAGACCTTTAATCACTTTTGTTGCTCTTCTCCGGACTTTCTCCAATTTGTCCACATCTTTCCTGAAATGCGGCACCCAGAACTGGACAAAATACAGCGCTCCAGCTGTCAGCCCAGGGACGGTGGGGCTCCAGCTGTGTCAGTGCCCTACAGTGCCCCACTTGAGTTGGTGCAAGCGCTCCTGGTGAGGATGCACACCACTGACAGAAGGTGCATACTGTATGGACACACAGAACCGATTTAAATTATTGTGATGGCTGTAGGTCGACCTAACTTAAGTCGACTTAATTTTGTAGTATAGACAAGCCCTTAGATCTGAAGTGCTCCACAATTTCTGCATTTAGGAAATCTTACCTGTACTTTTGATGCAGCAGGGCCACTTTCTGTGTTGCTTCCTCCAGGACTTTTTCCTCTTGTAACCAATCCTTAACATAAAGCAGAATTTAGTTAAAGAGCTAGTAGAAGGAATTCTAAAGGATAAAATAATTAGTTCCTTCACTCAGTAGGAACCTGACTTCCAACTGAGCCTGTGGTTAGTAGGCTGTGAACAGATTACTGCAAAAACCTAAAACAACACACTTTGTTTTTCCCCCCACCATTTATCTTCACTATAATATACAAACATCTTTAAACATTGCAATGTCCTGGAAAACTGGGATCTATTGTGCAATTTAAAGCATTATGTGTAATTCAATTACCTGATAAAAACTTTAATTAGATCTACTTGCAGAACCTCAATAATTCATGCTTTGATTGGTTTGGGAGCAGTAAACGAGAGAGAGAAGTAGTGGTTCTCAGCCTTTATATAAGCATGTATCCCTTTGTTGAAATCTCTCTCTGATCAAGCACTGCTATTTGTCAATACCGTGTTTGCTCACTTCGTAAGGGGTCTCCAAACCATTTGTTTTCTTTCAATAATGTCAGAAAAGCAGCTGAAGAAAGTACTTACCACAGGAAACAAGGCAAATCTTTGTAGAAATTCCTGAGATTCATACTGATCGTAGTCTCCAAAGTCAGCTAAGGAAATGAAAGAACAGGTAGGATTCAAGTACTTGTGATGATAAAAGGATTTAGTTCAGTGTGAAGGATGCGCTCTCTGTACAGTATAGCTCCGTAATAATGAACTCTATTTGAAAGTAGCGGATGACACTGTACAATAGTCAGTAAACTTTGCAAAGTGTAACAGTTAAGCAAATCACGTTGTGATGAGTGTATAAACCCCATACTGACCAAAAAGGGGCTAAATAGAGATAGAGGCCTAGTGTATACCTCAGAGTTAGGTCAACGCAAGGCATCTTATGTTGACCTAATTATAAAAGTGTCTACACTTAGATTTCACTCCTGTCAAAGTAACCGCCCGGCTAAGCCAACTTAATAACTCCACCTCCGCGAGCAGCATAGAGTCAATGGGTCGATGTAGTTCGGTCAACGCAGTGTCAATGTTGACACTGCGTTGCTTATGTCGACGGTTACTGGCTGTCAGGAGCCTTACCACAATGCCCCACACTGACAGTACAATCGACACAAGCATTCCTGATGAAGACATGCACAAGGACACAAGGAACAAAGTGTAGACACACTTTTACAAGAAATGTAATTTCTGCAGTGGTTGTATGCCAATGTAAGTTAGCTCGACTTAATTTTGTACTGTAGACATGGCCTCAGAGCTTGAATTAGCACCAACTTGTTATACCTGGAGGGTGCGTCAGGCTCACTGAGGAGCTCAGCTGGGAGAAGGAGACCCAGGAGAGTGGAGATCTGGAGTTCCTGCCCTGTGCGAAGGGTCAGACAGAAGCTCAGTGGAGGGAGAATTGTGGGGAAGCTACAAGAGTGGGAGTGAACGCTGGGGCAGGGGGCTTGAAAAAGTGGCAAGTTTCTAGCGAGGCAGCCCTGTGGGTTGGTGCTCTGTAGGAGAGAGGAGAACTGGGAGAACCGAAGATGCTCTAAAAGCTGAAACCTGGGCAGGCAGAAGTTGCTCTAGTTTGTATTTTTGTCTGGTTTCTGAGTTTTGCAGAGGGTTTCCAGGGGGAAGCCCTGCAAGGCTGAAGACGAGCTCTGGAAGGACAGAAGATGTTGTGTTACCACTATGTTGTTGGACATTATTTGTTTGGGGCCTTGATACCCTGGAAGGGGTGGAACTGTAGGGAGACCTGGATAGAGGCCAAGTCACCATCATTAGAGCCCTGCATGGATACAAAAATTTGGATTCATATCCATGGTAATTAAATTGTATCTGACCTAAGATCTGCACTCCACCTTATATAAGGATCTGCATTTGTACTAGCACCCTCTAGAGCAGCACTTCTCAACTGGGCATCTGTGGCCCCCTGGGAAGCTGTGAGCTGGTTTCAAGGGGTCCAGGGCCCTGTGGGGCTCCGGGCTTCAGCCCTACGGGCAGACCCCCTGAAATCGCTACCCTGCTGATTGAGATCCCCTGCATAATAGAGAGCCCGGCACAGATAAAAATTTGGATCTGCATCAAATCTGTAATCCAGAGATGGTAAACAAAGATCAGTATCCATGGATGCAGATATCTGTGGATATGAAGCTGTTATCTGCAGATTTTCAGGGTTCTAACCATCGTACCAGATCAATGACATAGCGAAAAGGAGAGCAAGGCAGGGTTGCTGAAATGCCATATCACACCAGGAGGGCGGGGGGTATTCTGTGGTGGTGAGACTTTCTTTCTTCCTTTTTCTCCTAAGATATCCTACTTGGTCTGTGTTCCTCTTCTGACTGGTCATGTGACACAGTTCAATCACTAATCCTTTTGATCTTAATACTTTAGGAACTCCACTCCTGTTCCTCTCTTTTCATTTGTTGTCCCTGCACCCAGTTGTATTCTGGCCCTTGGATTTTCCCTCCCCTCCCCAGGATTCAAGTAGGCCTGGTCCTGGTTTAAGGCTTCTTTTACTGAGGATGCTGGCTGTCAACATCCAAACCAACACAACTTCCACTGGGTGCAGAAGAATGGGAGGTAGGGAGGAAGGGATCTGTCAGGGAGATGATCACAGCTCCCTGATTCTCTACGGCAGTCCCAGTTCTGGTGCAGATTAGAACAGACTAAGGGCTGTTCTGACTTGCTCCACTGGGTATGGTCCCACAGAGACTGTACACAAGATAGGGATTGTTGTAACACACTGGACACTTCCCCTCCACACCCTAAAATGATCCCTGTGCTGGGAGACGTGGGGAGTGAGGCCTAGAAGCCAGTTCTGCATGCTCTGCACCTGCTGGAGGCTTCCCCATACTGGGAGTATTCACAGCAGGGACTTAGGGGAGGTTTTGGTTCTCTTTTGGTCACCCAATCAGCCCAAAGGAATCACACAGGGACAGAGAACCTGCCTCTATATCTGGCCCCAGCTGTTGAACAGGAGAAATAAAGTGGGCTAAATACAGAAGACATCAAGAAGGCCAAGGTGTTTAATGTATTTTGCTTCTATCTTCACTAAAAAGGTAGGTTGTGATCAGATACTTCACACAATTAATATTAACAAGGGGGAAGGAACACAAGACAAAATGGGGAAAGCACAGGTCAAAGAATATTTATATAAGATACATGTATTCAAGTCAGCAGGGCCTGGTAAGGAACCAGCTGAAGCAATCTCAGAACTGTTAGTGATTATCTTTGAGAATTTATGGAGGACAGGAAAGCTCCCAGAGGGCTGAAGAAGGGCAAACATAGTACCTATCTTTAAAAAGGAGAACAAAGAGGACACCCAGAGAATTATAGACCGTCTCCTAACTTTGACACCTGGAAAGATACTTTACTGGAACAAATTAATCAACAATCAATTTGTAAACACCTAGAAGATAACAGGGCTACAAGTAACAGCCAACATGCATTTGTCAACAACAAATCGTGCCAAACAAACCTAATTTCCTTCTCTATCTGGGTTACTGGCCTAATGGATAGGGGGAAGCTGTAGATGTGACGTATCTTGGTTTTAGTAAAGCTTTTAAAATAGTCGCAAGTGACAGTCTCATGAGCAAACTAGGGAAATGTGTTCTAGATTAAATTACTATATGGTAGGTGCTACACTGCTTGAAAGACCATACTCAAAAAGTAGTTACCAATGGTTCGCTATCAAACTGGGGAGATGTATTTAGTGTGGTCCAGCAGCGGTCTGTTCTGGGTCTAATGCTATTCAATATTTTCATCAAGGGTTTGGAGAATGGAGTGGGGAATATGCTTAGAGATCTGAAGATGGGAGGGATTGCTAGCACTTTGGAGGACAGGATTAGAATTCAAAATGACCTTGACAAATTGGAGAACTGGTCTGAAATCAACAAGATGAAATCCAATAAAGACAAGTTTAAATCACTTCATCTAGAAAGGAAAAATCAAATGCACAACTACAAAATGGGGAATAACTGCCTATGCAGTAGTACTGCTGAAAAGGATCTGGGGTTAATAGTGGATCACAAATTGAATAGGAGTCAACAGTGTGATGCAGATGCAAAAAAAACACCAAAATCATTCTGGGGTGTATTTACAGGAGTTTCAGATGTAACGGTCTGCTCTACTAGGCACTGGTGAGGCCTCAGTTGGAGCACCATGTCCAGATCTGGGCACCACACTTTAGGGAAGATGTGGACAAATCTGAGAGTCCAGAAAAAAAAAATGATAAAGGGCTTAGAAAATCTGACCTATGAGGGAAGGTTCAGAAAACTGGCATGTTTAGTCTTGAGAAAAGGAGACTGGGAGGGGCTCTGATAAAAGTCTTCAAATGTTTTTTAAGGGCTGTTTTACAGATCAATTGTTCTTTTGTGCACTGAAGGTAGGACAAGAAGTAATTGGCTTAATCTGCAGCAAGGGAGATTTAGGTTAGATATTAGGAAAAACTAACTAACTATCAAGATAGTTAAGCTCTGAACAGGCTTCCAAAGGAGGTTGTGGAATTCCTGTCATTGGAGGTTTTAAAGAACAGGTTAGACAAATACCTGTCAGGGATGGTTTAGGTATATTTGGTCCTAACTTGGGGCAGGAAGATGGACTAGATAACCTCTCAAGGTTCCTTCCAGTCCTACATTTCTATAAATATCAGAGAAGCTATAAATTAATCTTCAGGAGAAAAGGTCTCAAGGGACCAGAGCGTCTGCTGAACGTCTGTTCCATATTTTCATATACAAATATAACTCACAAAAATATAGCTCTTATTTAGAAGTCTCATCGAAGAAAAGTACATAGACAACAGTCTTTAACTGAGAATGAATAGTATTGTGTGGGCTAGTATTCACATTTAAAGGAGACTTCAGCCATTTTAGATTAAGTTAATACTATACTCATGATCAGACTAGTGTTCGGAACGGATTTACTGTTACTATTAAAATCACAAATTGCTGTGGTATTCCTCAGTGGGGACAATGACAAATCACCAACTTGCCAAAATCCAAGTGTGCGTGTTCCTGGTAAAAGCAACTGACCCACCTTATAAGTCACCTTAGTTATCAAGCAGTACCAATCTAAAAGATCTACTATTCTACACCAGTTTTTCAGTGTGTTACTAACACATACAATTCCTCTCTTACAACCCTGCCAGATCAAATGAAGAATGCAAAAGTTACAGGATAAAATATTTTCCATCTGAGAAGAGGATTATATTGAGAAAGATTCCCATAAACAACTCACTGAGCAGAGACACATTTATACTCTCCCAAGAGCATAAAATGAGTAAGCAAGAACTTGGTAGATGAAGAGTATTAAAGGGCTAGCCTGCACTACAAAAAACTGATTTTACATAAATAAGGTATTTTTAATTCACCCTATTTCACTGGTAAACAAAGCAGAAAAACAGATTTTCTTCTTTAAATATGATGCTATCAATATGTACACTTAGTTAATTTTTAAAAAATCAACTACAAGTTTCATGTACTACACAAGTCCCTAAGTCCCCGGCCAATGCCGGTGTTTTTACAAACTATTAGTAGTTATATTGGAAGACAAAATGCAAGCAAAGGTTGTGGGAATGGAAGACTACATATAATTAGTCTGGTCATGGGGAAAACAGGTAAACTGTTAGTTCTGGGGGTTTCTAGGTTTTCTTAAATATATGTATAACCTATCCAACCTGCCCCCCAACTAGCCAACATTAAATGGCTAATTTCTTGTAGGCATCATGGCAGAAGGGGGTCTTCGGGAGAGATTTGAATGTGGGGTAACGGTCCTGTGGACTAGCTCTGCAAGCACATTACAGGCGTAGGGGGAGTTGGCGTGAGAGACAACATGGAGAAAAGAATATGGGTGTACAGACACATTCTTAATTATTAAAATGCATCCCCCTCTCCTGCTCCTAAACCAACAGGAGGAGATTGCAGCAGTTGAGACGCAATGAGGTCTAGTGGTCTGAGCACATGACTGAGAGCCAGGAACTCCTGGGCCACTGACTCCCTCTGTGGCTTTGAGTAAGTTCCACTGAAGTTAATACAGTTTTGAGGATCAAGCTCTTAATGACCAACTAAGTGCTGAGGCACCATAATTCAGGGGCATTAAATTATTATAAATTCAAAGCAAATATCATGTATTTTACAAAAAAGGCAGGTATAGAGCCACATAACTACATACAGAGTATCTACCATAACAGGGGGTGTTCATGTAAGCAACAAATATAAAATATGCATCCAAATATCTCAAGTCACCATCCCTAAAATTTACTTAGTGAAATTCCTTTGTTTACCTTGAACAGCTAAGCCAGCCAGATGAATTGCTTGCTCTAATGTGCAAGGAATGTTTCCCTCCAAGATATCTTTCTTCAATTGCAAATAATACTGGTATCTACAAAAAAAAAAAAAAAAATCCATGTCAGCTTTTTCATTTTTGTTTCAGTACAATATAGCCAAAAAATCTTTTGGAAGCCAATGAATTTGCATGCATCGTTCCTTCCAAATCCCCTCCCCTTCCCTCACTCTCTCATTATTGAGGAGACCACAATCCTCCTTGTCACTCAGTCCCATAACTTAGTGTTCATCTTCAGCTCCTCCCTCACCCTATAGTGTATCCATATCCTGCCACTTCTTTCAACACATCTCCAGGATCTGATCTCTCCTGCCTGCCCAGACATCAAAAATGTACTCATGTCCTTCTCATCGTGCTATTTAATTCCTATAACCACTTCTTCTCTCGCCTCTCTGACAATCACACCACTTCTCTTCAGGCCATTCAGAACACTGCTGCTGGTCAAAACAATCCCTGATGGTCAATCTGACATCACTCCTCCCTTTGAATCACTTTGATTCTTGCTTCTCCAGTACATCCACTGCAAGCTATATGTCATCCCCTTTAAGGCCGTACATAATCCATTCTCTTCAACCGGGTCTCTCATCCAATTTATCCAACCTGGTCTCTACCTGTGTCATTCCTCCATTCATCAAGGACATCACTTTCCCACAACCACCTTCTTGCATTCTTCCATGCCATTCCCTACGCAGGGAACATGCTTTCTGAGGAAGTCCAGCAAGCCACCAGCCTCTCCTCAAAGTACTTCCTTAAAACCTACTACTGCTGTAGTAAAACCTACATAAACATAGCTGACTAAAACATTTATTTACTCTGAATATATACATTTTTTAAAAGTTTAAACTTCCTCATGCGGTACATTAGCCCTTGCTCAATATTGCAAACACTTAAGCATGTGCTCAACTTTACTCACTTGAGCAGTCCCATCTGAAGTCAAATAAAGCACACAAGTTTTTTCAGCATGAGGGCCTAACTGCATAATTTTATTGGTATTGTCCCTGTCCCCCTAACTGTTTTACAACATCACATTGAACAATAGTTAAAGAGAGTTCCTGGGGGCAGGGATCTTGTCTTTTTACATTTCAGGAGGTACATCATGCCATTAGAAACAATAAATAAATGCATGTCAGACTAAACACATGAAAACAGATGTTTTCCATCTTTACCAAAGACTATTAAATACGGCAACCTTTTAACGTATTCTCTACTATTTTCCCCTCTCCCACAAGAACAGAGCCATGTGCTAGATGACAATAGATACCAGTGCTACATAAATCACACACAAATAGAGCTGGGACTAAAATCCTTTGCTCCCAAAACACACACAACCCTTTAGAATCATAGAATACTACGGTTGGAAGGGACCTCAGGAGATCATCTAGTCCAACCCCCTGCTCAAAGCAGGGCCAATCCCCAATTAAATCACCCAGCAGATTTTTGCCCCATATCCCTAAATGGCCCCCTCAAGGATTGAACTTACAACCCTGGGTTTAGCAAGCCAATGCTCAAACCACTGAGCTATCCCTCCCTATTTGTGTAAAAGGAAATCACCCTAACCAGGCAGTAGGTTTCTTGTTCTTCCTGCAAGACACCTGCTAAAGGAATATATGATGCTCATACAACTACCCCATCTTATTATGGGCAACTTCCCTCAAATGTGGGCCTTGCACTCCCTTCGATATGCCAAATATACAGGGCTGGCCTTACCATGAGGCGAACTGAGGCGGCTGCCTCAGGTGCCAGACTGTGGGGGGGCGCCACTAGAACCTGAGGCAAGGTGGGGAGACCCTGAGACTGAGGGGTGTACTGCCAGGGGGCAGCACCCCAGATAAAGGGGCACCGGAGTCCAGGGAGGGACACGGGGGCCAAGTGGCAGCGGGACACTGGCCTGCAGAGGGCGCTCCAATGCTGGAAACAAGCTAATTCCCGAGACGACCAGCAGGAGGCGCCGCAGGGGTAAGTCCCACATCGCTACACCATCCAACACATTACTGGCGTGAAATCCCCAATGGTGACAAAGTGGAGAGGCCATGGCTTATGTACTCAAAAACCCAGAATGCTGCATACTGTTTTTGTTGCAAACTCTTCCAGTCTAATGTTCCAGCCACATTGGGTTCTACAGGAACAAAGGACTGGAAAAATCTGGCTAGAAATCTGGCATGCCATGAGAAGGCAGCAAATCACCAGAGAGCATTCCATAGGTGGAAAGAGCTTGAGATGAGACTAAGGTTAAAGGCCACCATAGATGATCAGCATCAAGAGAAGATTGCATCAGTGTCTCTTTACTGGCAAAATGTTCTGAAAAGGCTCATGGCCATTGTGAGAATGCTTGCTACCCAAAACCTAGCACTGCGTGGCACTTCAGATCAGCTGTATGTGCCAAACAATGGAAACTTCCTTAAAAAATTGTGGAGCTGATGGTTGAGTTTGATGCTATACTCCAGGAGCATCTAAGAAGAGTCACCACCCAAGAAACGTATACACACCACTACCTTGGAAAACCAATTCAAAATGAGATCATACAGTTACTGGCAACAAAAGTCAAACAGAAGATTGTGGCAGATCTGAAGTCAGAAAGATATTACTCTGTTATTCTGGACTGCACACCTGACATCAGCCATACGGAATAAATGACTTTAATGGTGCATTTTGTAACAACAACAGAACCTAGTGAAAATGTCCCTGCAATGATGACTGTCAGAGCATTTTCTAGAATTTATTGACATTGATGATACTACAGGGGCTGGTATGACAAATGTGCTTCTTAAAAAGCTGGAAGATATGGGAATTGCGATAACTGACATGAGAGGTCAGGGCTACGATAATGGTGCCAACATGAGAGGAAAGAACAGAGGAGTGCAGACACGGATCCAAGAGTTAAACCCTCGAGCTATTGTGTCCCATGCAGTTCTCATTCACTGAAATTAGTGGTCAGTGATGCAGCATCAGCTTCTAGTGAGGCTGCTGAATTTTTTAATGTAATTCAAAGCATCTATGTATTTTTCTCTGCATCAACTCATCAATGGCAAAGTTTGAAGCAACATCTGGGAACATCCTCTCTGACACTGAAACCACTGAGTGCCACACGATGGGAATGTCGAGTGGAGGTGATAAAGCCTATCAAACACCAAATTGGGAAGATAGATGATGCCATAGTTGCCATTATAGAGGATAATGCTATGACAGGAACTGTTCGTGGGAGAACAGTGGCAGAGGGAAATGGAATCACCAGAAACATACATAACTTCAAATTTCTGTGTGGGCTTAGTGTTGTGGTATGACATACTGTTTGAAATAAATGTTGTAAGCAAGAGACTCCAAGGTGTTGACCTTGATATCTGGAGCAATGGAACAACTGGACAAAGCAAAGTCATACCTACAGTCTTACTGGTCAGATGAGGGATTTCAAAACGTTCTGAAGAGTACACAGAAGTTGGCAGAGGAACTTCACACTGAAGCTATTTTCCCTCCCATTCAAGAGTCGCCGAAGAAGACGACATTTTGATTACGAGGCACAGGATAATCCCATAAGAGACCCCAAACAACAATTGAAAGTTGAATTCTTTAACCAAGCGCTAGATTGTGCAATACAATCAGTTGAAGAACGTTTCATGCAGCTCAGGGAACACAGCAGTATATTTAGGATGTTGTATGATATTCCAAAACTCCTCACTATACCTGAAGAAGACCTACACCAGCAATGCAGGGCACTAGAGACAGTGTTGACACATGATGACATGAGCGATATTGATGCGAGTGATTTAGGTGATGAACTGAAAGCCCTTTCAAGATACATTTCAGCAGGATCAACTCCGAAGGCTGTTCTGGAATATATGTGCACAAATAAGATGACCACCCTCTTTCCAAATGCTTTTGTTGCTCTGCGCATACTTCTAACACTTCCTGTAACAGTTGCCAGTGGAGAACGCAGCTTCTCCAAGCTGAAGTTAATAAAAACACATCTATGCTCCACAATGACACAGGAGAGGCTGGTCGGCCTTGCAACCATCTCAATAGAGCATGAGCTGGCCCAGACTGTGGACCTTCAGCAGGAAGCAGTTCAAATCTTTGCAACCAAGAAGGCACGGAAAGCACCACTTTGATTATTCAAACAGATAAAAATGCCAGTGTTTACTATGCAGACAAGAAAAGTTACATTTGCTGTTCAGGCATTTGAAAGTTAAGTGTTACTTAAAATTTTTGAACAAGGCATTTTAAGTTGTTAGTTCCCCTTTATTGGGGTAGGTAGCAAAGCAGTACCATGAGAGGAGTAGAACAGGAAGAAGGCAGAATTGAGACCTTTCAAAGTTTTGGCCCAAGCGAGGGGGTATGGGGCGTCATTTGAGCTCCCCTCCTCAGATGCCAAAATGTTGTGGGCCAGCCCTGCAAATATACCACTTGTTTAACACTCTTTGGACCAGATTCTGGTATAGAGCAGGAGTAAGCAACTCCATGAACTTCTCTGAAGTTAATTCCCATCTTAACTGATGTGAATTAGATAACAATCTAGTCCTTTATATCTAGCTGCCCACAGTATAGGAACACAGAGTTTGCACCTGAACTCAGGTCTCATGCATGGCAGTATATTGCAACATTACTGAGCTATTGCACTAGAAAGTTTACAGGCTCTGTGTCTGCTAAGAATGTCTATATTAGAAATACTGGCAGTTTCATTCCACTGAATTAGAAAACTGCCTAATCGAAGTGAAAGCTTTTAATATTTTGATCTTGCTGAAACAATTCCTGATACATCAACCTGTGGAATCCTATACCAAGCTTAGGACCTAATCCAATACCTGTTAAAGTTGATGGAAATACTCCATGTCTTGGAGTTGGATCAGGCCCTTACAAACCTGGAAAACAACTGAAAAACAGCCCACCGTGCATTTTAACCTTTTATAAAGAAAACAAGCGTACAGCTTTTCCCATGCAAAATGAGAACCAAAGTCAACAGGACTTGTACTACACCATATAATATGGTGGAGCTGCAGGATGTATTCTGAGACACCCCACTGCATTAAAGCATAGCAGCCTGTAGTTAATGTTGTGACAGTTCTCAGGGTAACCAGGACTGAGAGTCATCTCGTTACCCCTCTGCCTTCAGTGTGAGGGAGTCTTGCTTGTGCTTAACTGGTTGTCAGCTCCCTGAAAACACAAGCCTATTAGCCACCCAAGCACTCTCATCTGGGCTGATATTCACCATATGAAGAGCTGATCAGTGAACATGCTGAACTGGATTCTCCTTTACAATTAACAGCACTTCCTGGCACTTGTGCCTGTGATCAGTGAATTCACAAAGCAACAGTGGAAATGGACGCACAATTTCCTATCTGATATCCATCTTTATTGTCTATAATCACACTACGCCTTAGATAGGACTTTGCAAATATGGTTTATGAATACCAGAGTGTGCTGACAACAGGACAACTTGCCTCTATCAGCTCTTCAGGTAGTAAGTGTTGGATTGGTTTCCTGAAGCAAAGTATTCCTCTGAAAGAAAAGCCTATAATAATTGAAAGGCTGATCATGCAAGCATGTCTGTGAGTAACTTTACTAGGCTCCAATGGACTCATAAGGTCATTGGGAAAATTCATCTCAAGAGTAACTCCATTATTATATAGCAGGGATCGGCAACCTTTGGCACACGGCCCATCAGGGAAATCTGCTGGCGGGCCGGGCCGGTTTGTTTACCTGCAGCATCCACAGGTTCGGCCGATTGCAGCTCCCACTGGCCGCAGTTTGCCGTTCCAGGCCAATGGGGGCTGCAGGAAGCGGCAGCCAGCATATCCCTCGGCCCATGCCACGTCCCGCAGCCCCCATTGGCCTGGAACGGCGAACCATGGCCAATGGGAGCTGCGATCGGCCGAACCTGTGGTCACTGCAGATAAACAAACCGTCCTGGCCCGCCAGCAGATTTCCTTGACGGGCCGCGTGCCAAAGGTTGCCGATCCCTTTTATATAGTCTAAATACACTAAAAGGATAATAAATGCCACAGTTTGGGCACAGTTTCTGCCTTAAGTCTGCATTTCCGTTTTTAAAAAGGTTGGAAATCAGGCAATTATGTCTATTTTAAGAAGATTCATACGTTAGAATGTTAAAAGCTGAATTTAAAAACGTGTGCAGTTTACCTGGTAATCTCCTGCTGAAGCTGAGAAACAGTAGGCACATAAAACACCACTCCAAAATATACCGTCGGCTCCAAAGCATATTTGTCCAGTTGCTTTTTTAGAGGCTTGTCCAAATCTACCCACCGGCGCTGGTTCTGCTTATTGTAATACCACAGACTGAAATAAGTAATCTGAAAAAGAGGGAAGCAATTCAATGATCAAATCATGTCAGTATTGCAATACCAGATAAAGTGCATATATCATGAACCTGGCACTGTCTCCATCTTCACAAAAGGCTAGAGATACAGGATTAAAAACAGTTTAACACAGCTTTATAAGCCTATAGTCTTAGGATTCAAAACTACCAGGAGCACTGAAATATTTTTAACAGTAATAGCATGCCATATTAAATATCTGAAATAACAAAACAAACCCAGGTAGTTGAAGAAAACACTTTTGGTTGCCTAATATATAAATTAACAGCCCTATTCCAAAAACACCACCAGCTTTTATTATTGTGAGCATTCTCGTTGACTTTGATAAGACTATTCACATAAGTAAATAATATTCTTGGTAGTAAAAGTTTACATTTCATGATGCAGCATTAACTTCATGATGCAGAATCAGACTCATTCAAATCTAAATTTCACATCATACAAGAAGTGATCAATAATGTCTGATTTGGCAGTCTTTATTCCTGTGAGTAACGATTTCAGAATTGGGTCCTCGATGAGCACGGACATGGGTATAAAATGTCAATCTAAAAATCAGACAAGCCATCAGTATTTTTATTATAATAGTGATTAATATAAAGCATCAATGTTGTGCATTGGTATCAGTGACAGTAAGGAATTTCCCCAAGTGGTTTATACACATGCACGGTTATAGATGGTGCAGGTAGAAACACCTATAGACTGCCTAACACTTTTCTTTAAAAGACCACGTTTCCAGTTCCTTATAACTTTGCAATGTTAACTGCCAGGGCTGAAACATCCTATGCCAAGAGTCTGCCTCAAGTTGATTTCCCCCCATCCTCCCCATACTAAAAGGGTCAGTCATTTCTGAGAATGGGAGTAGGAAAAAACGTGTTTGCCCATGTTCAAAGAATGTGTAAAACTGTTTCACTGGGAAGCTTTAGAACCTCCATGCTTTGCAGCAGGGACTTGAAATTTGTCCAGGGTGTTGACTTGGTGTCAGAGATGTGCCTTTTGTGGTTGTGCTAATGGATGGGGGACTCACCCAGGATGTGGGAAACCCCCAGTTCAAGCCCCACTTTTCTTGAGGGAGAGAAGTGATTTGAACAGGGATCTGTTACCTCTCAGGCAATTGCTCTAGCCACTGGACTTTAGGATACTCTTATATGGGTCTCCCTCAGTCTCTCCTATTGAAGTTGTTAGTTAACTAACTGAATAACTAAATATTAATTGGGCAAGTGAAGAGTTAAATAACTCTATAATCTAATAGATAGGGCAGTGGCTCTCAACCTTTCCAGATGACTGTACCCCTTTCAAGAATCTGAATTCTCATGTACCCCCAAGTTTCACCTCACTTAAAAACTTACAAAATCAGACAAAAATACAAAAGTGTCACAGCACACTATTACTGAAAAATTGCTTACTCTCTCATTTTTACCATAGAATTATAAAATAAATCAACTGGAATATAAATATTGTACTTACATTTCAGTGTATAGTATGCAGAGCAATATAAACAAATCATGGTCTATGAAATTTTAGTTTGCATTAACTTGGTTAGTGCTTTTATGTAGCCTGTTGTAAAACTAGGCAAATATCTAGATGAGTTGATGTACCCCCTGGAAGACCTTTTAGTACCCCCAGGGATACATGTACCCCTGGTTGAGAACCACTGAGTTAGGGCACTCACCTGAGAAGTGGCTGATCCCTGTTCAAATCCCTTCTCCCCCTCAGAAGGAGGGGGGACTTGAATCCAGGATCTCCCACATCTTGGGTGAGTACACTATCGACTGACTAGGCTAAAGCTTATCAAGAAAGTCCTCCTCCCCCAACTGTTTTGTTCCTGGCCCCTCATGCAATTTAGGAATGCCTATCTTCCCTGGTTCTTGGATCACTAGCAGAGATCGATGCCACACTGCAGCCTACATTTAAGAGCCTCTCTCTGTGACAGGACTGTGGTTTGCACACACCCCTGCGGTCAGCATCTCCCATTGGCTAGCTTAGTCGGCTCCCTGCATAGTATGCTGGCTTTGTGGATTGCAGTACGAGATGCCTCTCTCCCCCCATTCATTGTACAGGGTGCCTAGGTGCCTAATTCAGGCTTTGCAGATTGCAGTGATATTCTGTGATTTTCTAGGGATCTAAAAGTCAGGGGCTGCGATGCTCAGAATCATAATGCCTAAGTCCCTTTGTGGGTCTGGATGTAAGGTACTAGGATGAAAGCACCCTAGAAAAACTCAGGAAGATGATAATTTTGGGTTCAGTGCAGTGTTTGGATGGTGTGCAATAAACACCACACAGGGACAAAGCCACACACTGAATGAAGAGGATTAAAAAAAAGTATTGAACAGCTACCCATTGAATGACCCCATCAATGTCCATTGGGCACTGAATGAGGCATGGATCCTATGAAAAAAAGTGTTGATGATCATGTAATTAAAGGGCTTTTCTATACAAACAGCTAGACCGTAGCAAGTGGGGATGTGAAAGTGCCCCGCATTAGCCTAGAGCGGACTAAATGTCCGTGTGCACCCTCTAGATGCGCATAGGCTTTGACGGAGACTCACATCAGCAAGGTACATAAAGACAGGTAGTGTGCTGCAAGCTAGTGTGGGGTAGAGCCACAGCCCAGCTTGCCATGGTCTAATTGTTTGTATAGACATGCTCACTGACTACATACTATAATGTGCACACACAAGGAGCGGAATTAAAGTTACATGGGCAACCTTAATTATAGCATTTCCTAACTTCTGACTGTTCGAATTTGCTACTTAACAGCCTTTTATGTAAAATTACATTAAAACAAAGTAAGGTAGGTGAACTACAGGAATACAACTACAATAATGTAGACTCATACCTCAATTAAAGTTGAAGTATAGGCCAAGAGCTGCCAGATCGCACCTGCTGCTGTGAAAAGCTTGTGTATGTAAGCCTATTCTTACTACTGGTCCAGTCCATCTGCCCAAGTACTAATGCATT